GTGTCCCAGCCCAAATCTCATGTTGAATTGTAATCCCTTGGAGGAGGGGTCTGGTGAGAGGTGATTGTATCATGGGTCTGGATTTTCCCCCTTGCTCTTCTCTCGATAGTGAGTGAGTTCTTACAAAATCCAGTTGTTTAGAAGTATGTAGTATTTCCCCTTCTCTCTTTCTATCCTGCTCTGGCCATGTGAAGATGTGTCTACTTCCTGTTCACCTTCATGATTGAAAGTTTCCTGAGGCCTCCCCAGCCATGCTATCTGTACAGTCTGCAGAACCTGAGCCAATTAAACCTCTTTTCTTTTCTTTGTTGAGACAGAGTCTTGCTCTGTCACTCAAGATGGAGTGCAGTGGTGCAATCTCGGCTCACTGCAACCTCCACCTCCCAGGTTCAAGTGATTCTCCTGCCTCAGCCTCTCCCAAGTAGCTGGGATTACAGGCATGCACCACCACACCTAGCTAATTTTGTATTTTTAGTAGAGATGAGGTTTCTCCATGTTGGTCAGGCTGGTCTCAGACTCTCAACCTCAAGTGATCCACCTGCCTCAGCCTCCGAGAGTGCTGGGATTACAGGCATAAGCCACCATGTCTGGCTTTTTTTCATATTTTTAGTAGAGATGGGGTTTCACCATGTTGGCCAGGTCTCGAACTCCTGATCTCAAATGATCCACCCACTTCAGCCTCCCAAACTGCTAGGATTACAGGCGTGAGCCACTGAGAGGGGCCTAAACCTCTTTTCTTTATAAATTGCCCAGTCTCAGGCCAGCCATGGTGGCTCACACCTGTAATCCCAGCACTTTGGGAGGCCGAGGCAGGTGGATCACAAGGTCAGGAGTTCGAGACCAGCCTGACCAACATAGTGAAATCCCGTCTCCATTAAAAATACAAAAATTAGCCAGGCTTGGTGTCATGCACTTGTAATCCCAGCTACTCAGGAGGCTGAGGCAGTAGAATTGCTTGAACCCAGGAGGTGGAGGTTGCAGTGAGTGGACATTGTGCCACTGTACTCCAGCCTGGGCAACAGAGTGGACTCCATCTGAAAAAAAAACAGTTATTTTTCTAGGATATTTAAAATTGTTAAAAACAAAAGGCAAAATATAAGAAATAAAAATAAAACTTTAATCAAATTTATTTGAATAAAGTTGAAAATTTTAATGTCTTGAAAATGTAATTAAATCTGTGAAAAATTGAAAAATAAAACTATCCATTATATGTAGTGGATCCCAGCACCTTGGGAGGTCAAAGTTATATATATATATATATTTTTTTTTTTCGAGACAGAGTCTTGCTCTGTCTCCCAGACTAGAGTGCAGTGGCTTGATCTTGGCTTACTGCAATCTCCATCTCCCGGGTTCAAACAATTTTCCTGCCTCAGCCTCCCAAGTAGGTGGGACTACAGGCACATGCCACCATGACCAGCTAGTTTTTTGTATTTTTAAGAGAGACAAGGTTTCACCGTGTCAGCCCGGATGATCTCTATCTCCTGACCTTGTGATCCACCTGCCTCAGTCTCCCAAAGTGCTGGGATTACAGGCGTGAGCCACTGCGCCTGGCCAATATATTTTATATATATATATATATATATATATATATATATATATATATATATATATTTTTTTTGTTTTTTTTTTTTTTTTTTTTTTTGAGACGGAGTTTCACTGTTGTTACCCAAGCTGGAGTGCAATGGCACGATCTTGGCTCACCGCCACCTCCACCTCCTGGGTTCAAGCAATTCTCCTGCCTCAGCCTCCCGAGTAGCTGGGACTACAGGCGTGCACTACCATGCCCGGCTAATTTTTATATTTTTAGTAGAGACAGGGTTTCACCTTGCTGACCAAGATAGTCTCGAAGAGATGGAGTCAGGCGGGTATGAAAGCTCACACCTGTAATTCCAGCACTTTGGGAGGCTGAGGCAGGCAGATCACTTGAGGTCAGGGGTTTAAGACCAGCCTGGCCAACAGGGAAAAACCCTGTCTGCACTAAAAATACAAAAATTAGCCAGGCATGGTGGTGCATGCCTGTAATCCTAGCTACTAGGGAGGCTGAGACAGGGGAATCCCTTGGACCTGGGAGGCAGAGGTTGCAGTGAGCCAAGATTGCACCATTGTACTGCAGCCTGGATGACAGAGTGAGACTCTGTCTCACAAAACCCCACTATATGACAATGGTTTTCAAATTGTGGTCTGGGAATCCCAAAAGGCCCCCAATTTCCTTTTGGGGATTCACAATATCAAAACTATTATCTTAATAATACAGGTTGAGTATCTCTTAATCAAAATGTTTAGAACCAGCTAGGTACCCATGGCTCATGCCTGTAATCGCAGCACTTTGGGAGGCTGAGGCAGGCGGATCACTTGAGGTCAGGAGTTCGAGACCAGCCTGGTCAGCATGGTGAAACCCCACTTCTACAAAAAATACAAAAAATTAGCCAGACATGCTGGTGGGCACCTAATCCCAGCTACTTGGGAGGCAGAGGCAGGAGAATTGCTTGAACCTGGAGGCAGAGGTTGCAGTGAGCTGAGATTGCGCCATTGAACTCCAGATTGGGCAACAAGAGCAAAACTCTGTCTCAATAAATAAATAAATGTTTAGGATCAGAAGTGTTTCAGATTTCAAGTATTTTTGGATTTTGGAGTCTTTGTATTACCAAATGAGCATTCCAAATCTGAAAATAGGAAATTCTCCAACGAGTATTTAAATTTTAAAAATAAGGCAGGCACATGGCTCATCCCTGTAATCTCAGCACTTTGGGAGGCCAAGGCTGGTGGATCACCTGAGGTCAAGGGTTCAAGGCCCTGTCTCTACTAAAAATACAAAACTTAGTAGGTGGCGGGCGCCTATAATCCCAGCTAATTGGGAGGCTGAGGCAGGAGAATCACTTGAATCCAGGAGATAGAGTTTGCAGTGAGCAGAGATTATGCCACTGTACTCCAGCCTGGGCAACAAGAGGGACCCCATCTTAAAAAAAAAATAATAATGAAGAGAAAATAAATAAATAAATAAATAAAACCAGAAGAAAAAGCTTTAGAGTAGGAAAGAAAAGGAGTACACTTGTAAGAAACCCAAGAAGGCAACTTGAAGGACAAGTGCTGCATTTGACCTTTTGACTTGGGGTTTTATTGGATGGCATGCTTGTGGGATTTTGTGTCCCTTTTCCCATGATTTTTCTCTTAGGGTGGGCCGTCTCCAATGTCTGGTGCCCTTCTTATGAGGCAAGGCAGAGGACATAAGGCGGATTCATGCTGACTTTTACAACTAAATCATATGGAAACCCTTCAGCTATGACAGAAAATACCCTCTCCACTTACATAGGGCATACACTGAGTAAATCAATGACTTTGTAACTTTACTTCATCCTCTTCATTTAGATAGGGTGTACACCTGGTAACCAATGAAAACCTCTAGAGGTTATTTAAATCCCAGAAAATTATGTAACGGGGCCCTTGAGCCCCTATGCTCGGGTGCTCCCACACTGGGAGTGTATTTTGGTTTTCAATAAATCTCTGCTTTTGTTGCTTCATTCTTTCATTGCTTTGTGCGTTTTGTCCAATTTTCTTCCTTTTTTTTTTTCAGCATCCATAATCTTTTTAATATAAGGGTAGAATCCAGGGTTAGATTTCGTAGCCTTGGCTGTCCGGTCGGCCTCTGGCACACGGGAACTTCCAGCCCTTGGAGCGGGAACAGGGATTGGCGTGGCTGTGCGGGGTTCCCGGGCCGTGACGAAATGGCGGTACACCTCTCTGCCCTTGCGGGGACTGGAGAGCGGGACCGTGCGGCAGCCCTCGGGGAAGACCAGAGCCAGCTGGTCAAAAGTGAGGATCGCGGGGCGCGGTGGCTCAAGCCTGTAATCCCAGCACTTTGGGAGGCCGAGGTGGGTGGATCACAAGGTCAAGAGATCGAGACCATCCTGGTCAACATGGTGAAACTCTGTCTCTACTAAAAATACAAAAATTAGCTGGGAATGGTGGCGCATGCCTGTAATCCGAGCTACTCAGGAGGCTGAGGCAGGAGAATTGCCTGAACCCAGGAGGCGGAGGTTGTGGTGAGCCGAGATCATGCCATTGCACTCCAGCCTGGGTAACAAGAGCGAAACTCTGTCTCAATAAATAAATAAATATTTATAAATAAATAAATAAATAAATAGTGAGGATCTTGCTCCCTGCCTTGAGAATGCAGCTACGAGCTTGGCTGGTCACGCGGACCGCACACACCTTCAGTTTGGGCACCTCCTGAACCCGCACGTCATCTGTTATGGTCCCCACAATCATGGCCGTTTTATTTTCCCAGCTAGGCAGCTTCATGTTCAGGATCATCCGGGAAAGGGACAGAGGTGGCTGGTTGGTGCGACTCATAAACAACGTCTTCAGCACAATCTGGGTGAATGTGGAGTTGGTTCGTCAGGTCAGAACCCTGTACAGCTTGACCAACAGCCTCAGGTAGATATCCTAGCTCTGGGGTTCCTTGCGCGGAAACTTTTGGTCCTTGTAGTGGCGGATGTCAACTCCCACGATGGCGCCTCCTGCTCGGCCAGGTCCGGAAAGTTGTCCAAGTCTTTCTTCAAGACACCAGGAACCTGGACGTCCTCCACTGGTAACACTTATGCTTGAGCTGCGCAGTGTGGTCAGGAAGTTGTACACGTGACCACCTGAGGCTGTCTTCCTTTTTCCGGTGGAATTCCCCCGGAAGGTCGTACACCGTCATGTTGTCTCTTAATGCACATGGCGGAGCTCACTCCCCGAATTCCTGCAATTGTATTGAAAGCCGATTACCAATCTCAAATTACCACTTCAGTGTGAATGCTGTGGACTATCAGGTAATTGTCTCTCTGTGGTGCTGGCTGCCAGTTATCATTTTTAGAGCTGCAGCGTGCCTGGCGCAGTGGCTCAGGCCTGTAATCCCAGCACTTTGGGAGGCGGAGGCGGGCAGATCACCTGAGGTCAGGAGTTCAGACCGGCCTGACCAACATGGACAAACCACTGTCTCTACTAAAAATACAAAATTAGTGTTCGCTTCGGCAGCACTTATACTCAAAATTGGAGCGGTACAGAGAAGATTAGCACGGCCTCTGCGCAAGGATGACATGCAAGTTCGTGAAGTGTCCCATATATAAATAAAATAAATAAAAATAATTTAAAAAAAAATACAAAATTAGCGGGGCCTGGTGGCACATGCCTGTAATCCCAGCTACTCGAGAGGCTGAGGGAGGGGAATCGCTTGAATCTGGGAGGCGGAGGTTGCGGTGATCCCAGATTGCGCTGTTGCACTCCAGCCTGGGCAACAAGAGCGAAACTCCGCGCATCTCAAAAAAGACAGAGAAGCAATGTGATAACTAATAACTGCCGAACTATCACCTGATGGTCACCTGACCTTCCTGGTGGGGTGGAAGGGAAGCCCTCTCCTGCCCGGGTCATGTTTGAGTGACTGCCTGTAACAGGACTACAGGCATACATCCTGGCCTACAATTACATTCTGTTATTAAATCCTAGATCATGACTCTCAAGTAAATACAAATTATAACTTTGTAAAATATCTTGATTGTAGCAGTGTGATTAATGATTTTGCTGAAACGAAAATAAATTTAATGAAGTAAATATGAAGAAATTTTATAATCATATAGGCCTTCATTTTTATACCAATTCAGATTTTAATGGACTGTCAATCAAACACTCATACATATATGATGATTATTAAATTCACTTGGTATTTTGCCAGGTTTCTATTGTATAAATACCGTGGCATAACACTTAGTTTTTTAGGGTTTCTTTTCTTTACCTTTTTCTTTATAAATTAGGGGGAGTTTTTTATTTTGTATTTTGAGACAGTCTTGCTGTGTCACCAGGTGCCGGGGTGGAGTGCAGTGGCACTATCTCGGCTCACTGCAGCCTCCGCCTTCCAGGTTCAAGCAGTTCTCCTGCCTCAACCTCCCAAGTACCTGGGACTACAGTTGCGCACCACCACACCAAGCTAATTTTTGTATTTTTTAGTAGAGACGGGGTTTCACCATGGTCTGGATTTCTTGACCACCTGATCCGCCTGCCTCAGCCCCCCAAAGTGTTGGGATTACAGGCGTGAGCCACGGCATCCAGCCTGTTTATTTCTTTTTTTTTTTTAATAGAGATGGAGGTTACACTATGTTGGCCAGGATGGTGTCAGACTCCTGACCTTGTTATCCTCCCGCCTCAGCCTCCCAAAGTGCTGAGATTACAGGCCTGAGTCACCGCGCCCTGGGGTTTTTGTTTTTTGGTTTTTTTTAGTTTTTAAAACTCCGACCCTCCCCGGTTTTTGGTGTTTTTGTTTGTTTGTTTGTTTGTTTTTGAGATGGAGTCTTGCTTTGTTGACCAAGCCTCAGCCTCCCAAGTAGCTGGGATTATAGGCACCCACCACCACACCCAGCTGATTTTTGTATTTTTTTTTTAGCAGAGACTGTGTTTTTCCATGTTGACCAGGCTGGTCTCGATCTCCTGACCTCAGGTGATCCACCTGCCTGGGCCTCCCAAAGTGCTGAGATTACAGGAGTGAGCCACCGTGTCTGACTTTAGTTTTTTGTTTTTGTTTTTTTTAATTTACTATGAAAGTGTATTTATAAATGCAGGAGGATAGAACATATTTTTGTAACAATTTGTTAGCCTGTCTTATAACCTTTAAATATTTACATATATGGACCGGGTGCAGTGGCTCACAACTATAATCCCAGTACTTTAGAAGGCAGAGGCAGTCAGATCACCTGAGGTCAGGAGTTTGAGATCAGCCTGGGCAACATAGTGAAACCCTGTCTTTACTAAAAAAATTAACTAGATGTGATGGCACATACCTGTAATCCCAGCTACTTGGGAGGCTGAGGCAGGAGAATCACTTGAACCTGGGAGGCAGAGGTTGTAGTGAGCCGAGATCGGGCCACTGCACTCCAGCCTGGTTGACAGAGTGAGGCTCTGTCTCAAAACAAAAATAAACAAAAAAATTTACGTATATGACTTTTAAAAAACCCCAAAACTAATAGATATTTACATATGTGGTATATAGACCTTCATTTGTCCTTGTGTTCTGGGCCCCAAAAATATTAAGGGTAAGTCTTCTTTAATTCACTCCAGTCTTGAGTCCAAACACTTACCTTGTGACTGCCACAGGCCCAATTCTGCTGTGTGGGTGGAGTGCCTGACAGGTGAGGGAGAGAAGGAAATAAACTTTTGGGCACCTCAAGCAAATGTTACCTTGTAGTGAGGCTTTCTCTCCTTGGTCACTACCCTTCACCCTATATTATTTGGAGTCTAGAAGGTCCAAATTATGAACAAGATTACACCCAGCTAAATTACATTAAAAACAAGGTCTAGCCCTCAATTTGAGGCCATTTAGGTAGAACAGGATACTTCTTCCTGTCCCTGTAGTGGCTGTTGAACCTACCAGGGCCTTTAGTCATAATCATTAGCCTCTCTCTCCCAGTCCCATCCACATAGAACACAGAGGCTGCCAGAATCAATGCATGCCCCTTTTCTCCACCCACAACCACTTTGCCTTGGGAGGAATGAGAGCCATTGTTAGTTTACTTTCCCTTGGGCAAGAGACTCTCCCCTTCTTCTTCTTTTTTTTTTTTCTAAGATGGGGTTTCACCATGTTGGTCAGGCTGGTCTTGAACTCCCAACCTCAGGTGATCCAACCGCCTTGGCCTCCAAAGTACTTGGATTACAGGCATGAGCCACCATACCTGGCTCCCCTTCCTTCTTACTATGTCCCAGGATAACAACAGTGGCATTAAAGTCTGACTTCTGGGCCGGGCGCAGTGGCTCAAGCCTGTAATCCCAGCACTTCGGGAGCCCGAGGCGGGTGGATCACGAGGTCGAGAGATCGAGACCATCCTGGTCAACATGGTGAAACCCCGTCTCTACTAAAAAAATACAAAAAACTAGCTGGGCGTGGTGGCGCATGCCTGTAATCCCAGCTACTCAGGAGGCTGAGGCAGGAGAATTGCCTGAGCCCAGGAGGCGGAGGTTGTGGTGAGCCGAGATCGCGCCATTGCACTCCAGCCTGGGTAACAAGAGCGAAACTCCGTCTCAAAAAAAAAAAAAAAAAAAAAAAGTCTGACTTCTGGCCAGTGGCCATGGCTTATGCCTGTAATCCCAGCACTTTGGGAAGCCAAGGCAGGAGGATCACTTGAGGCCAGGAGTTCCAGACCAGCCTGGGCAACATGGTGCGACCCCATTTCTATTTCTAAAAATTTTTTTAAAGGGCCAGCCATGGTGGCTCACACCTGTAATCCCAACACTTTTGAGAGGACTAGGTGAGCGGATCACTTGAGGTCAGGACTTCAAGACCAGCCTGGCCAACATGGTGAAACCCTGTCTACAAAAATTAGCTGAGTGTGGTGATGTGCACCTTAAACCCAGCTACTCAGGAGGCTGAGGCAGGAGAATCACTTGAACCCGGAAGGCGGAGGCTGCAGTGAGTCAAGATCGCACCACTACACTCTAGCCTGGGCGACAGAGTGAGACTCTGTCTCAAAAAATATATATATACATACATATTTTTAAAAAATAAAATATGAGTTCCCTATAATTTTCTTGGTTACAGCAAAAATATCTGTACTTTTTAATTTTATTTTCCATGCAAACTTCTTTCTACACACAATATCTGTATTTTCAAACCTAGAAGATCAATCTTTTTGTTATATTAACATATGACCCCAAATTATTCCATGCTCCAAATTTCTCCAAGGTTTGGCCAGGGATTGGGGGGGCATTTATTTATTTATTTTGTAGATGGACTCTTGCTCTGTCAACAGGCTGCAGTGCAGTGGCTGGATCTCAGCTCACTGCAACCTCCAACTCCCTGGTTCAAGCGATTCTCCTGCCTCAGCCTCTTGAGTAGCTGGGATTACAGGCACGTGCCATGATACCCAGCTATTTTTGTATTTTTAGTAGAGCCAGAGTTTCACCATGTTGGCTAGGATGGTCTCGATTTCCTGACCTCGTGGTCCGCCTGCCTCAGCCTCCCAAAGTGCTAGGATTACAGACATGAGCCACTGTGCCCGGCCATGGGGGTGCCATTTATTATTGTTATCATTATGAACTCAAGGGACTGAACCCTTCATTACTGTCAGATACCAGGATCATTGAGGGGAGAGAGGGAATTTGAATTAAAAGTTCAAAGAGCCAAATTATGCACCCATATGGCACAAATTTACAAATTAAAAACATCCTTAATCAGCTCTGAATGTTTTGTTTGCATTAGGGAGGCTTAAAATGAAATGTCTCCTCTGTCACCAAGTGGACCCTGCCTTCTTTTTTTCCATTTCTCCTTCCCAACGAGAAAAACAATGCAGACTTGTGTTGTCTTGTGACTTAAACTTGCAGCTTGGCTGGGCGAGGTGGCTCATACCTGTAATCCCAGCCTTTTGGGAGGCTGAGGTGGGCAGATCACTTGAGGTCAGAAGTTCATGACCAGCCTGGCCAACATGGTGAAACCCCATCCTACAAAAATTAGTCAGGCCTGGTGGAGGACAACTGTGGTCCCACATACTCAGGTGGCTGCAATGGGGGGATCACTTGAACCCAGGAGGTGAAGGTTGCAGTGAGCCAATATGGCTCCACTGCACTCAGCCTTGGTGACAGAGTGAGACTGTGTCTCAAAAAAACCCAAAACCAAAAAAACAAACAAACAAAAACCTTGCAGCCATAAATTTATGTGGCTGATAAAGGGCAACAGGAAAAATAATGGGATGGAAGGTAGGGCACGGTGGCTCACTCTTGTAATCCCAGCACTTTGGGAGGCTGAGGTGGGTGGATCACCTGAGGTCAGGAGTTCAAGATCAGCCTAGCCAACACGGTGAAACCCCATCTCTACTAGAAATACAAAAAAGTAGCCAGACGTGATGGCAGACACCTGTAATCTCAGCTGCTCAGGAGGCTGAAGCAGGAAAATCACTTGAACCCTTGAGGTGGAGGTTGCAGTGAGCCGGGATCACACCACTGCACTCAAGCCTGGGCAACAAGGTGAGACTCCATTAAGAAAAAAAAAAAAAAAAAAAAGAATGGAATGAGAGAAACAAAATTTGTGAAGTATTTTGAGACCCTTGGAAAAATATGAAGTCATTTGCAGCTGTAATATGTCCACACACCA